CCCTAATGACCTCACCACAATTAGAGGGTGTTTTTATGTTCTCTACCAACTCTTCTAACGTCCAATCAGTAGGAATATTTTTAACCACTCCCATCCTGGTAATGTGAAATCTAGGAACAATTGCTGCAAAGTTATTTACTTGTAAGAAATCATTTGATAAAAAGTTGTTAGCTTCTGAATACGATTTAAACTCTATTAGGACTCTGTTTCTCCCCAGTGATTTAATGCCTCCTTCTACAATTCCCGACACATTGGATTTATGTAGAAGTTGGGCAAATTTGAGTAAACGAATTGACTGACCAGAAGACATGTCAGGAGAGGATCTAGTGACATGGACTATGAAAGGAGACTTATCACAATTAGTGTATTCAAGTTTTGAATCAATTTCGTAACCCTTTTTAGAATACGTGGACTGATAAGAAACGGAGGGTGGAGTAGTTTTTTTAATGTTGATAGTTTCATTATTTTCAGCCGGGCGTTTTAGGTTTATGTGACTTTCAAGTTTTAAGCTAGTAGGAGTAGGGGTTTGTAAGATAAAATTAGAATTATGCTGTTCCATCATAATATCGGGAGGGCGTCCACCACCCCCATCCGGGGGTTTATCCTCATCCATTTCTCTTAAAAGGGAAATGGCTCGTAAAGATAAAAATACTCACCAATCCCACAAAAACCACCACCAAACACTTACAAAACAAACAAGTTTAGGTATTCAAAAGTAATGAATATAAAATAAAATCGCAAAACCACTCAACGACGTGTTTACATCAACACTTTGACAAGCAGAATCAATCTCGTTATCTAACGCGCGCTAACAACTGACACAGCATGCAACGACTTAAAAGTTAAAAAGCAGTCACTAGTAAAATTGACATCGGATATCGGAACGTTTCACGAGGAGTCGCTGAAACTCTAATAGGCAGGAAGCTTTCTGAAGTTTTAACAAGCCGGTTGACGTTCACTGATATAGAAATTTCAACAACATGTTATTTAAATTGAATGTTAGCGCAGCGATAAGCAGAACCCGCGGAGTGGAAATAAAGCAAGAATTCCTCGTAGATTTAAGTTTATCCAATTTATCTTGTTTACCTATCATTATTATTTAGTTACCGATATCGACTTAAGATTGAAATAGCATCTTTTTTGAATATTAATTAAGCTGCGTCATCTAAGATGCTGTCGTGATTAGAAACATTTTTAATTAGCATCCTGACCACATGGCGACATCTGGGTCGACCCATTAAACAAGCTAAGACGTTACCTAAAAATAGTCGAATGAATAGATATTGAATATTAAAAATTTATCCCAAAAAATCTAAGACTACTTTATTTACTATCTGTAGTATAATTTCGGTCATGAAACTGATGATGTAACATGAAACGTAGTTGATTACAAACTCAAACCAATATCTTAAGGTACTGCATAAATCCTAAGTAATAAGTCCCAAGAAAAGCTGTACTTTTTATTCGTTTAGTTCTTTTAGTCTCAAATAGATTGCAAGGGCAGATTTTGTAATCTGTGAGTCTTGTGTGAACCTGTGTTCATCCGATAAGTTAATGAGTAAGGGTTCATGAAGTAGCGAGTAAAATAAGGGTAATGAAGTAAAATAATAATAATGTTTAAAATCGTCCGGTCCATCATCACGGACAGGACGATTGTCGCGAACAAACCTGATATGACCGGGCACAGTCGCGGGTATTTTTGGTCGACATTACCATTCCATATGACGAGAACCTCGTGAAAGCCGAAACAGATAAGAAGACGAAGTATCTGGACCTGGCTCACGAGGTGACCGACATGTGGGGTGGTGTGCCGACCGAAATTATCCCGATAGTCGTATCTGCGAATGGGTTGATCCCAGCCAGCCTCTCCGGACATCTGAGGCGACTGGGACTCCGGGACGGAACGCTCCAAGCTCTAATGCAGAAAGCGGTGCTTCTCGATACTGCTCGCATCGTCCGCCGGTTTCTCTCCCTTTCACCCTAACCCTCGGCCGTTTGGTCTCCCATGCCGAGGGCTTCCGTCTGGTTGGGTCCTATTTATATGTGTATTATATGTAGTATATTTTTATATGTATATGTTTATTTTTATGCATAATATTTATTTTATATATACAATATGTATCTTTATGTTTATTTTTTATTTATAAACCCAATCAGACGAGAAACCAAATGAATATCCCCCAAGTAAAATGTTTAAAAAAAACTGAGGTGAATTTAACTATAAAGATTTTACAATTCAGTCCAAAATAAATGAAACGATGTCTAGACTTATCGCCAATGCCACACCACCTTGGAAAACTGCCTGATCCGACAAGGAGCGGACGCGCATGATCGCGTCAATCGTAGAACGCCCCTTTCGGTAACCAAACTAGCTTTCAGAAAGATCGGGACCGACGCGCGATAGATGCCTATTAATACGAGCAGCCAGAATTCTCTCAAACAACTTGCCAATCTCGTCCAACAGGCATATCGGACGGTACGCAGAGGGACATTCTGCTGCCCTTCCTTTTTTCTTCAAGAGGACCAATCTGGATACTTTCCGAGCTGTGGGAAACGTGGATCTACGGTGGCAACTATTAAATAATTGCATCACCCTGTCCCCCAGTACAGTTAAACTTAGCACCCAGACCCGACCAGGTATTCCATCAGATCTTGGCGCATTGTACAGAGCTTAAGCAGTAAATAGCTTGGTCTAGTTTTTGGACTTGGCAATCAACTTCTTGGCAATCCCACAAAAGTAAAGGAGAGCCTGAGGGACTTGATCGAACTGTTGGGAATAGCATGTTGATCACTCGTCTCAGTAGGTTAGGGTCTAACGATTCCGCCAGAGGAGGCCTAAGCTTACCCAACACCATTCTATAAGGACGCCCCCATGGATCTGTGTTGAGTACCTCCAAAAGCTCTACCCAAGATCGAGTCTTAGCATTGCGATTGCGAGATGCAATGCCTTCGTGTCCGCTCGGTAAGCCATGTAGAGACTAGTTGTCTCGTCGGCCGTTGCTCGCCTTCTTTTTCGGGCTCTGGTGTATTGGCGTCTGCTCCGCAGACAGACAGCAAGAAGTCGCGAAATTTCCGCCGACCACCAGTACACCACCCTACGTTAGGGGCTACTGGCTTGGGGCATAGACATGTCACAAAGTTGAGTCATTGTGCCCCGCAACCAAGTTGCTTCACATTCAGGATCGGACGACACTCCTTCGGTGTCTTTTGGCCATGCTACAATGTTGGCGTCAGCTTCAAGTAGGTCCCGATTTAGACGCATGAGGCACCAACGACGAGGTAGGCCGCTATCACGGCGACTTCTAAGGCGGCGGCGAGCGATGTCAAAAACGATGTGGCGGTGGTCAGATAATGTGACCATCTCCTCTGCAACCCGCCATCAGTGTCGCAGAGATACCATTAGTGTCGCAGAGGGAGACGCCCATGTTAAGTCGACGACCGATTCTTCTTGGACGGACCCCTGATTCAATAGTCGGATGTCCAGCCCAGCCGCCCACTCTTTTATAGCCTCCCCTCTCGAATTATCTCTGGGGTTCCCCACTCTCTAGCGTGGGCATTAAAGTCCCCCAGAACAATTAACGGGTGCGGCGGGCAACTGCGAACATAGTGTACTACCTCATCCAGATATATCTGGTAGTCGGCGAGTAACAGATTGGGAGAGACATAGCATCCGATGATGACCAGGGTTCCCCAGTGCGCTGCAACGAATCCCCGCGCCCTTCTTAATAGGGTGCAGGGTGGGGCATCCTCCCTTACTTCCCAGTTAATGGCTACGAAGCCCGAGTCATCGCCGAACCAGCAGGGATCATCAGGCACAACGTAGGGTTCCGCTATAACTGCTAGGGCAACACTCCACTCCGTAATTGCCTGCATAAGCAGATTTTGTGCATTACGGCAGTGGTTTAAGTTACCCTGGAGGACTTTTAGGAAGTTGGTGGTGGTTTAAGTGTCGGCTACCTTAATCACCGAGACTTGACTCGGTACTGCAGCTGTGGTCGCCATGATGTTGGAAACGTGGAATGCGGTTTCCCCACGCATACCTTTTCACCGTCAATTCCGCCAATCTCCATTAGGATTCCCCCTGTAATGGCACGCTTTTGTCGGATAATACTCGATTCCGAGTTCCTCTACCCGAATTTTCGCTTTGGCGTCCTTCATTATGCTGCCGTAGATAGCGGTGGAACCCTCTCGTAAAGTAATTGTTACAGCCGCAGATGTTGGGGCACGGACGGGTTTCCGTTTTATCTTTGTGGATTGTTCGTTGGACACATAGTTCATCGGCGACTTTTGTGTCGTCTGGTGTACTTTTGGTTTTTTAGCCGCGTTCTTATTGCTGTGGACGTAGAAATTTGCACCACAGGGTTCGCTATAGCAGGTAAATCTGCCACGGGTGGATATGTCGGCTTTTGCCGTTTCCTCGCCTTCTTTTTATTTTTTTCTTTTGCTATCGTGCATCGGCTGTAAGCATCTGAATCGGCGTTGTTAATTATTCAGTTGCAACTGTCACGGACTTCACACCCAGTGGGCGTAGCGTCTTATTAGGCAACAACAGAGATTCGAAAGCCGCCAATTTACTCTCAATAAACGTTCCAATGCCTT